ATTGTAATAATCGTAATCTGAAAGAACCCGCGTTTTATTTGATACGAACTGTATCGGGAAATAAAACAACGTCTACACGGGATTAAGTAAAATCCAAGAACGTAACAATTGGTGTCGGAAGTGAGATTACGATAATACTACGACGAAGTTTAAGGATCTACGAGTGGAAGACTTGAAGAAGGAGCTGAATAAATTGGAATTGTCCTCTACTGGCAACAAGGCTGAGCTACAAAAACGTCTGTTGGATGAGTTCGAGCGCCGTGGTATGAACGTTGATACATATGAGTTTGACAGTAAGGATGAAGTGGATTTATCGGAAATGGGCGAATCCAACGGTGGGGAAGTCTCGTCAGTAGCTGCCAGGGGTGTCGATTTCAGAGAAATGCTGGCTAAAATGTTCGAAGAGAATTCCAGAAACACGAGACGAATGTTCGAAGAGAATTCCAGAAAATTAGAAGAAAACTCGAGACGAATGTTCGAAGAGAATTCCAGAAACTTAGAAGAAAACACGAGACGAATGTTCGAAGAAAATTCGAGAATAACGAACGAGAAACTCGAGTACATTACAGAAGTTATTGGAAGGAGAGTGGAAACTGTGGAGGTCCAAATTAAAGAGTTGGATAAGAAAGTGCAGTCGGTTGACGAGAAATTTCTGGCCCACGACCACAGGTTTACGAATCTGGAGAAGAAAATTTCGGAACTGGAAATTAAAGGTGGTCCGGTGCGAGTTCCTGATAACGCACTAAAAATCAAACCTCCTGTATTCGACGGCTCTACGTCATTCAATGTTTTCAAGTTACAGTTCGAGACAGTGGCTTCTAGAAATTCGTGGAACGACAGCGACAAAGCGGTTGCACTACTTCTGGCATTGAAGGGCAGTGCTGCTGATGTTATACAGAGTATTCCTGTCGCTTCTAGGAACAACTATGAAGATGTTATTGCTGCACTGGAACGTAAGTACGGTGGCGAACATAAACAAAACATCTACCTTATGGAACTAAGGGGAAGAGTGCAGAGGGCAAACGAGACGTTGCAAGACTTTGCAGCTGAGGTGGAACGTTTGGTGCTAATGACGTATCCAGGAGAGAATCACCCATTGCTGGACCGTATGAAAATTGAAACCTTTGTGAATGGCATACGTGACCCTGAGATTAAATGTGCAACATATGCGTCACCAAAAGCGTCATTTGCCGAAACCGTGTCATTTGCCCTTGCCCAAGAGACGGCGAGAATAATTGTTAAGCCCCAGACCCACAAGATTCGCCAACTGGAGACCGAAGGTTGCGAACACAAATCTCTCGTTAACTTGATCAAGGAAGCCATGAGGCGGGTAATAGAAGAAACAAAGTTAGTTGGGATGACTAAGCCCAGGGTTAGATGCTACAACTGCGATAAAGCAGGTCATATTGCGCGCGAATGCAGAGCTAAGCGCAAACGATCCAGGTCATCATCACCACCTCCAACGAAAGATGGTAGAAGAATGGCTCAACAGTCCACCAATGAGTCACCGTTAAACAGAATCGAGCACAGAGAAGGTGGAAAACACGATAATGCTGATGCCCTGTCTCGTCGGCCATGCAAAGTAGAATGCAGGCACTGCTCAAAGGCTGAGAATAAAGAGAATATCGTTGATGTCCGGCTATTGCAGTTTGAGTCGGGTGAAGATTGGTCGACGGAACAACGAGGGGATCCCATTCTGGGCAAAATAATTTCGGCCATAGAAACGGGCAAGCGACCTAGTCGCAAAGAAATTACCTCCGAAAGCCCTCTTTTAAAATCCTATTGGGCCCAGTGGGACAGTCTGCTTATAAAAGATGGTTGCCTATATCGCAAATGGGAAAGTGAGGACGGTAAATCTCACCGGAATTTGATCGTCGTCCCAGACTCCAAAATAAGAGATGTCTTGTCGGAGTTTCACGATGGGCCAAGTGGAGGACATCTTGGCATAGCAAAGACGGCTGAAAAGGTAAAGCAGAGATTCTACTGGGTCGGATGTCAAAAATCCATTGCCGACTGGATCGCCAATTGTGAAAGGTGCATAAGAGCTAAAGGTCCAACACGGAAGAGTCGAGGCTACATGCAGCAGTATAATTCAGGAGCCACTTTTGAAAGAATCGCAATGGATGTAGCTGGACCGTTCCCCACAAGCGACTCTGGGAACCGGTATGTCTTAGTGGTCATGGATTACTTCAGTAAATGGCCAGAGGTTTATGCTACCCCAAATCAAGAAGCCAGGACAATTGTGGATGTGTTCAACAAAAATTGGATTTGTCGCTATGGTGTTCCATCGGAGGTTCATTCCGATCAAGGTAGGAACTTTGAATCAGCGATCTTCAAGGAAATGTGTGACTCCTACGGAATCAAGAAAACCAGAACGACGCCTCTACATCCACAATCAGATGGCATGGTGGAAAGATTCAATCGTACCCTGGAAGAACATCTACGGAAAGTGGTGGACAGCGGCCAACGAGACTGGGATGAGCATATTCCAAAGTTTTTACTGGCTTATAGATCGGCCATTCATAATTCCACATCCCGGACCCCAGCGAAAGTTCTGTTCGGAAATGAATTAAAGCTACCTGGCGATTTGATATTCGGTGCTACCCCAAACGACGATGTGAACCAAGAAGAAGACAGTCAGAACTCTTTTAGTAAAATCCACGATGCAGTTCGCCATCGAATAAAAATGGTTAGCAACCGCATGAAGGCAGGGTACGATCGAGCGGCAAATACCAATGGGTTCCAAGAAGGGCAACTGGTACTATTGTTCAACCCACAACGAAAAAAGGACTATGCCCCAAATTGCAAACGCACTGGGAAGGACCCTACAAGATTGTCACGAAAATAAATGACGTCGTTTATCGCATCCAGAGGAGCGACAGTCCCAGGTCGAAGATGAAAGTTGTACATTTGGAGCGGCTGGCCCCCTACGGAACGGGAACTGTGCCTATTCGGGACGAACAGGCTTAAGCGGGGGGCAATGTTACGAAAATAACTTTAGATTTAAGATTAATTTAGATGAATTCCGTTAATTTAAGAATTTGAATTGTAACGTAAATTTCTACTACGCAGTTTATTTGAATAACTTCACAACAACAACTACTGTATAGATTTTTCTACATCCTTCCATTTCCTCTTTCATTGTCTATTTTGTTGCTGACGTACAATTCTTGTTAAACGTCATCATTGATGATCGCTTAATTCCTCTTTCTTTGTTACCCCCTCGCCTGTATATGTGTTGTTGTTATTGTTCGCTCAATGTAAGTTTGTATGTGTTGTTATTGTTCACTCAATGTAAGTTTGTATGTGTTTGTTGCATTGGTAGATTGTTCGTAATCTAGGCGTTACCAGATCGTCTAGAAACTTCTGTAGCGACAGGCAAGGCTCATATAAATAGAGGAAATGGAAAGGCAGTTAGTCAGTTGTGAATCAGATCGCGAATTGAAACCGTCGTGTAAAGTAAAGTGCAAAGTAAAGTTGTGTGAATAAAGTCATTGTAATAATCGTAATCTGAAAGAACCCGCGTTTTATTTGATACGAACTGTATCGGGAAATAAAACAACGTCTACACGGGATTAAGTAAAATCCAAGAACGTAACAATACAAAAATCCAGTAAAAGAGAGTCAAGTGAGAGAGCAAGTTTGACAGTTGAACAACAACAATGTTGCTGGAGTTTACTGAATGAATTTTATTCAGTAACATTTTGCAACTCAGCCATATTCTGATTAGCTGTTTTCTGACCAAACACAAAAATTATTTAAAATATTTTTTTTAATTTGCAAAGTTCAATTTGAAGTTAATTACAGAGAATGGAAGAAAATTCGTAAGTAAAGCAAAGTTTCATTAAATTAGAAACTAATTCCTTATATATTTTTAGGCAAGTTCCAGATAGAGGGCAATGTATTGATGCAGGGAGCTTAAATGTTCCCGGGGAACACACCAGATCAATTTTTCGTTTATTATTCATTTTATTTTTAATATTAAATGCAATACAAATAATTGTGTTCGTCCTTTGTTTGTTGTTTATTTTGGCGCAAATCAAATGTTTTCTTGAATCAACTGTTTATTTGCTAAATCTTACTAAATGTTGTCTGTTTACATTTTTCAGTATTATCGCAAAAGAGAGTAAGAAAGGCTTACTCTCTGAACTAGAACTTACTGAATAAATGTTACTGGAAAAGTAACCAGACACATCTATTTCTCAGTTGCTGTCGATAATACTGTTTTGACACTTCTGCAACTAGAAATATTGTAAACAACCAAAAATATTGGATAGAATATTTCAGAAAAAGTAATTTTAATTAATGATAGCTATTTTTTGATGATGAAAATGATGTGCAAGGCGTATCATCTATTAGAATCCAATCCATTAAACTGCTGTGAGTCAATAGCAATTCCTCCTCTCTTAAAAGTGTGTGCAGCTCTGAGGCTTTTTGCGGAGGCAATGACCTCAACCTTGGCATGGCTCAATCCACAATGTCGGTGGTCTTGACCGAAGTTGTCCGTCTAATAGAGGAAAAACTGTGTAAAATTGTTTCCAAATTAAAATAGTAGGAAAAGGGGAAGAATATTTTTTTTATTCGAAAACAAAGTCCCAAAAATGTTCGCCATTTTGTAGTAATTAACCATTATTCCAACCATATTTCAGTTCATATTGCTAAACACGACTAAACAGCAACCAGAAATAAATGGTTGCCGAAAAATTCTATTTGAAGCAACTGAAGTTGACAACAGTTGCCATCCATAATTCAAATTTGGCAACGCCACTAAAATTTGTAACCATCCGTAATCGACCCATTAATTTAGAAGTCCGAATCTGTCCATGGACGTAATTAGCATACCAAAACCTTCCTTTGCTAAAAATTGCAGATCGGTCCTGGTCCAATTCCTATATTCAACTTGGTCCACGGGGTATAATGGAATAAAAAAACGTATCCAAATTAGGTATATATTTAAAATAAAATGCACTCAATGTTTAATGAAATACATGTATATCTTTTCAGTGTTGTTTTTGTTCTTTGTACAATTCTAATAATTTTTCAGTAGCCGACTTTTCGATATCTAAAGGTTGTGAGTGCTCTGTAGATGGAAAACTAACTAAGTTCATCTCAGGATTACGAATCGTAAATGGTGTCCAAGGACCCTGAATAGAAGGAACATCTGTGTGCCACATTTTACGCAATCTCATCGAACTGGAAGGTCCATTTTGGGTTTTTAAAAATTCAATCCATTTTAATATGTCTTCTTTTGTCGTGTTACGACAGTTCAGCCATTCCCGTTCACCATTTACTACAATGCAAAAAATATCTTCATTATGAATTAACTACAAATGTATTCTACTCACAATACTCTCCAACCAATACCGGTGTGCGGTGCCGTCTTGGCTTTACATAGACCACTACCCCAGGATTCTCTTTGGCGAAATCCACGAGATTGTTTTCAATGAATTCTCTAATTAAAAATGTTTTGTTATTTTATTCTACATATGCTATAGATTGTTTATTTACCGCATCCCCTTGCTTGATCCATTATTTTTGCAAAATTTTAAAGTTACTCTTTGAAGTTGGCAAACGTATCTCCCAAGTCCATTTTGTAGCGGTGCCCGAGGAAAGCATGATTTAAGAAATAAGTGACTATTTGACATATTTTTCTACTATTGGATTTGTTACGTGCTATGAATTATAACCTGCACAATATAGTTTAGTTCAGATGAATGATTCACTGAAGGAACGTAATGAACTAAATTGTTTAGGTAAAATGATTACCCGTCGCTCTATCCACTGTAAAATGATTACAAGTCCTATATCCAATATGTAATAAGAATAATAAGGTTGATGTATCAAATCATTCTCCACCAAAATACTTGACAATGTAAAAAACATTAAACATTAATTATTATGTTAAATAAATTCAAAATAAATTGAAATATATTCTAATTTAATAGAAATGAAAATTACGTTTTTAACATGTTCGTCTGGAAGTAATTACTTTGTTATACATGAAACAAACATTTTATGGTATTCCCTACTGGATTTTGGGAATAAATCATAACCTTTCATTCATTTTTCGCGTTTTTAGTTTTGTGTTGAAAAAATGTCAAATAAACATAGACACTTGTTGCGTATATTTATTATATATAGTTGCTTTTTTGTTATTCACCTCAAGCTGCCCTACCTTGCCCTACCTACAATAATACAAGACATGGTACAATAATACAAGATAGGGCAGCTTGAGGTGAATAACAAATAAGTAAGTAAGTAATGCCATTACAGACGAGCGTTGTTCGTTCTCTCATTCGTTGTTCGACCCTTATTTATGAAGTAATTACTTAGTTCCCAATACAAAATTGTCTGAGCGAACACCTAATTTTGTACGTTGTTCAATTCGAATCACTCTCTGAATCACCAATAATTTTGTCCCATCTCTAACAATTGAGAGAATTTATCGAAAATAAATTAATTTTGACAACATGAAAAAAATTTTAAAATTTTCAAACTTTTTCAGTAAAAATGAAAATGATGAATGAAAAGTAAACAATATTCGAGTTTTTATATATGTAGAAGGATGTAAATTTTGTTGTCTACATGATGCAATATGCATTTATTTTCGCTTTGTTCTAATTCGTGTACAAAACGAGAGACAAAAGTGGGGAAACCCAAACAATTCGCCTGCCGAGGAAACTCCCACCCACCGAGATTCCTTCTCGCCATGACACATTTTTGTGTCCCTAATCTGACCTACCCCTTCCTCTCCTTTACCACCTTACTAAAATATTCTTCACACCAAATACATTTCAATCTATTTACAGAAAATTATATCATTAATTACCATATTTTTTTCTCCACTATTTTCAGGGTAATCTTCCCCAAAGCTCGCGTATGGTATGTTCGTAAGTATATAGTAGCCTTTTTTTAATACATTCCAGTATTTTTATATTTTCTAATTTCTTTTTTTTGTGTTTCAAATATACAGAAAGAGGCAACCAAGACGTGTCTGCCTTTACACTCTAAAGGCTGTCTATGTTGGTGGTCCCTAATCCTGGCCTGAGCTCAACCCCGAATTAGAACAATAAAAAACAACAGGTGACCACAATTGATATAAAATGCACTTGTTCACCCTTTAACTTTGTTCAATTTTTTTTTTTTATAGCAAGATCAGTTTTGGAATATATAAAATTCGAAGCTGGTCGTCCGTCTGTCCGTCCAGAGTTTAAAGTAGGTAGTCGCTTTGGCAAGATACCTGGGCATGCCGGACTGGTCATGCCATAAAGTGCTGATTCTCCCTCGTTGGATTGGATGTGCGATGCTGTGGCTCCTGATATTTATTTTTAATTTTATTTTAAGCAAAATTGTTTTTCAAATGTTTGATATGTTCATGCACCTTCAGTTGGTTTTTGTTTGTTTTGTATTGCTGTTTTGTGTTTTCTTTCATGTTCAAAATCAATATTCCGCAATAAAAAAAATCGAATTGAAATTTACAAAAGATATATTTTCGTCACTCCAATCAGGGCCACACAACCAATCTTCATCAAGCGTCAAATCAAAAAGGAACGAAATTTATCCATTTCATAAGGAACGAAATTTATCCATTCGTAAGGAAGAGTCATCATCTTTTATTCTTTTGTTTATACTTTATTCCAATTCTCTCAGTCGTGTTTTGTTTGACATTATTCACAAACATATGGTTTGACTATTGTGAATGATCGTAAATATGCATGCTTCTTCTTATTCCCAATAGCAAACAGAGGCGCAACCCACAAAGCCAACTATCCTGCTGGTATCCTTATCAAAGGATAGGAGGAAAAAAGTGCGACAAAGATATAAAAAAACAAAATAAATCAAAAATTCCATCTGGGGTGGTTTTAAAAGTATTGGTATTCGAAATCCCTACTTTTATTGTGATCTGGCAACCCTAAATATTAATTCTGCGAAAAAATAATTATTTAAAACATCATGTTTTATTTGCCACATGTAAACGGTTAACCTCATATATAGTTTTACCATGTGTAAACCGAGTGCAAGAATGACGTCATGCGCCAAGCGTTATGGTTTAGTGCGGCGCAATATAACATATGGGCAACTGACGTTTATGAATGAAAGCGTTGGGGACGCTTAGAGTCTAAACGCAACCAGAGCGTCTAGAGTCAGCGACGGTCGTTTACCGTGTATTTATTATTGGCAACGGGTAATCGCGACGGCTGACGTTCGCGTCTAGCGGCTTGACTCTAGAATAGATCTTATTCATTTTTGCTCAGCGTCATACTCAAATTTTCTCTCTTGCTCTCCATTGAGTTGCCATATTTTTGGAAAAAATCAGCAGTGCTACCAACATTGCAGTGGAAATTTATATCAAAGCATATGGCAGCGCTGTTAAAAAAAGAAATATTTTCAAAGATGTGGACGTTTTATTAACGAATTAATAATAAAATGGAAGAAAATTTAAAAATAAAATGGAAAAAAATAATTTTCCACAAGTTCATTGGCATTATTGTTTATTAAATAATAAATTGAATTTGGTTTGCGCAACGTAAAATTTTCTGTCAGAAAATCAAAACAAATAATTGACATTTTGTGCCGCTAACGCCAACTCTTCCGTTTGGTTTTCACGCCGGCGAAAAAGTATGACGCTGACTCGTGACTCTCTGGTTGCGTTTAGACTCTTAAATGGCAACATTATTTGGCGGCTTGGATCACGGACGGACGGAAAAATGGAGTTTGCAGAAATTATTAAATAAAATGGTATGTAGAGTGTAAAAAAAATTAAAGTGAATATTAAAATAATTAAATAAAAATATGTGAAAGTGTCGCGTTATTGTTATAAGTGAGTGTAGTGATTGTGAAAAGTGTAGAAAATTAGTGAATGAAAAATCCTATTGGAAACATACAGTGCGGGTGTATGCGAAAATACTACAAGTGCAAATAATGAATGAAAAATAAAGTAAGAAAAAATTCTAAAGAAAATTATGATTAAATAGATAATAACACGAAATAATTGAATAATAAAAAATATAAACTCAAATCAGTAAAATCAAAAATCAGTAAAAATGGAAACTGCGGAATCAAAACAAAAAGTGAAAATAAATGAATGAAAATATAACTATGAAAAAAAAGAAATACTAAGCAAAACAAAAAAAAAAAAATAAAATAAAATACTTGTAAAAATTAATTTAAAATGAGCCAAAACAAAATAAAGAGGAAAACGACAAAAATAAATATTTTTGTGTAAAAGGTGATCGGACGGACAAAAAGGAATTGTAAATATGTTCCTTGTGTTTTTTCTTTTTTTAAATAAATAATACTTTGCCAAAGGTATAGTATAAAATTGGTGACGGTACAAAACTTTCCTGTACTTTGAAAACAGAGTGAAAACCTTAATAACCAGCAATTGTTTAAAATATAAGGTTATTCTAATCTTAGCTTTAACATTTTAGATATGGACTGAAAAGAAAAATAAAAAATAAAAAAAATGAATAAAAATTAATTAAAAATTAAATTCTGCAATCGGACGTAGTGACAAACGAAAGAAACTTTAGTGATAGTGAAATTAAATTTGAAAATTAAATTATAAAATATGTGTGCCCAAAGGAAAAAAAAATCGAATTAAGTTCCTATCCAAAATTGAAGACTTCTAAATACAAAAGTTGATCAAAATTAATAAAAATTACAGAATTGGAAATAAAGTGATAAATGAATAAAAATCCTCTAAATAATACTGTTGTTTTCGGACATTATAAAATCAAATGAAAATAGCCCGATATTTTTACTAAAACAAAATGAATAAATTTACCATATCTGAATTTATTTCTACAATTACTACATGTTTTGCTCAAACTAATGATCAAATTTACTCTCTTTTCTTTTCAGGAATTCTTCAAAGCAATAAAACTGGACGGGTACATTTTTGAACCAACAAAGTGACATAGTGGTGAGTTCGAGGAATCTAACCCATTTTCTCCTCTATAGGTGTACCATCGACTAGACACCCAGTCTTAGTCAGAATGTCGGATACGATGTTTTGCAAATACGCCGAGGTGTATTTGTTCGTGTCTTCCCTCCTTCCAGACTCTAACGTCGTAAATCGACAAATGACAGATCCGCGATCGTGTGTACAACACTCCCCTGCCTTGCGCCAAAGCTGCGAATGGGTATATAAAGGGGGAGTGCACTAAAGATCAAGGACAGTTGCAACCGTGACTGCTCAGGAGTCGTAGACATATTGTTAGAGTTGGTAAACCTGGGTTGCTTCCTGTCGTACTCTGGCCTCGTATTTCTGACTTCTGCTGGTAGTGTCTAGTAGATTGGACTCCTACAAGTTTACGGAAAAGTCCACGAGATTCCAGAACTCAGCCACAATGAAATTTTTCCCGCGGAAACTGGTTATAATAAGCAGATCTGGAACCACAATATAAAAACGTGAGTTGTCTTCTTTCACTTATAATTCCTTTACCCTATTTTACACCAATTGACAGAAAATTGAATATGAATTAATTGAAATTGCTTTTTGTGGATCTCATCCACTTAAGTAATATTATGTTACAGGTTTAAATTGAGTTTCGTGAGTATGGCTAGAGACTGTACTGCAATCTCACCATTTTAACAATTTAGGTGTTTTTTTGTTACATTCTTTAAATTATCCCTTGCTAAT